TACATACATACACACCTACACACACACACACATATATATATATATATATATATATATACATACATATATATATATGTTACACACACATGATATATATAAATATATATCACAATCATATAAACATATATTTCTAGATAGCGTATATAGTTATGTATATATAGAAACATACGTGAATACACATATAAAAAATAGACGCACAAATTTGATAAATATCAATTTCTAACCTTGGTGTACAGCACGGTTGACTTCTCACAGCCGTTACTGTCAACTCTAGCACTCGTCATCTCGAATGAGTTCGTGGTGTTCGTTAGACTAGATTGTACCCGGCAAAAGGCGACAAGAGTGTCGAGTGTTTCTTCAAAGTTCGCGTGTTAGCTTATTGTGTTCATGTACTACTTTGTGATAGACCTCTGACTGGCGTGGTGTAAGTAGATGGCTGAATTGATATATACATACATACACATGCGTACGATTCATATCAGTAGAAGTGTTTGTTATGCACAGCGAAGCTAAGAAGCACAAAGAATGAGCAGCCGGAACTACGGCACTCCAAATTTTAAATTCGGATACACAATTATTGTCCCCCGGCTCAACTGTGGCCAATGAAAACGCAGCTTGCAAATATATTTACCAATATTGTTCGAGGTTTACTCTCAAAAGCCAAAAATTTTAAATTGTGCAAAGCTCAAAGCCTCCAAGGCTGTGATACATATCAACAAAAAATTTACAACTTTTATACTATTTTTACATAGGCACTGTAATGTTTGTTTACATATTTCTACGTAAGGTACACATATGTACATGCGGACGATGAGTGGACCGCGTGTCACATGTGATGCCAGATAACTTAGGCTAGTAGGTCTAGTTGTAGTGAGGTATTTGCTGATGGTTCTACCTGCAACGACTATGTATACTTGAAAAAAATTAAGCCACTCCCAGAGAGATTGGTTGTGAATACCGTGCACGAGTGTCTTGAAATTGGCATAAAGGTACGTGTCAATAAAAAACGTTCATGTATAGGTAGTGATCTAACATCAACACAGCCTTGATAAGACATGATAAGCTAAGTTTATTCTCCAAATATACACACAGATCGAATTCTCACTAGTCAGTTCTGTATCAGGTACTAAATCCACTCGGTCAATAAAACACCTTGAAACTATAACTTTTATCCGACAATAGTTTGTAGTAAAGAGATTCGTAGTATGCCTAAATAAGAGGAAGTAAGAATATCTGTTGGTGTTTATACTATTCAGCTTGCGGCAATTTAAAATGAAACACAATGAATATTCTAAACGGAGTGCAGGCACGTAGATTGTTTTATTTTCGTTTCGCTTTAAACAATCGTAAGCTGTCATCTCACTGGAAACATACACATTCATAATTTATTCGAGATAAGGTATAAACCCTACACAATCTAGTAACTGAGTAGTGTATTTTGCTTACATATTTCAACAGCCCTATAAAACATTGTATGATATTTTACATATGGTTGTGTTATTAGCAGGTCTAGCCGGAAATTGCAGGTGTTAAGACGGGCAATAAAACTAAGCACACTGTAAGTTAACGCATGTCGTACGGATGAGATTGTTAACAGAGTTTAGCTAGTATCTCAATAAATACATCAAACTCTTAGCATACAAAGCACGTATGTATACATTTTACAATCCTCCGAAATCGAAACAAAGTCACAGACTGGAACAAAACCTACACAGCAGTATGTATTTATAACACCAAAATAAAAATATGTATAAAATAGAATTGGTGTACCGCTCGTGATATATATATATATATTTTTTTTTAGTACAGTACCATAGCCTTCTCAAAAAAACACGCTATAACAGGACAATATGTACGAGTACATTAATTTATACAGATGTATTTATTTATAAAAACATTCCCCAGACGCAGGGCGCAGATTTAAAATAAAATGGGTATTTTACAAAACAACTGATAAATTCGCGTCATCAGTTTTGTTTTGACTGAGGGTTTAAAAAATAAATAGATGCAACACTTAGTGTTTATTGATAAATGCATCATATTGATATTTAGAGGTGTTATGTCGGATGTTGGATTTCTATTAACGCTCTATTAACGCTCTATCACAATTACTACTAGTGCATATTCAAGACTGCGAGGAGTACGAGGTTGTTGCAGCTACTTGTTGGAACTTGCGAGAGGTCAGTTGCTAATTTTTGTGATAAATTGTAATTTTATCTATACAATCCTCAGAGTGAAACAACAAGGAATAGCGAAATAGAGAGAAAACCCACACCCTTGCCAATATGATGTCCGCAGATGAGAGTGACGAAGAGTACCAGGAAGACGGCCTGGGCAATCACCCACTTCAGTCACCTACTAAAGCTACCACCGGTGGCATGTATCGTAAAGTGCCAGGACATGACACTAAACTAGGTACATCTTCCATGCCTGATCCTCTCAGAAACACCAAACAATCATCACATAATGCAAGGCAGTTCTCTATAGGCGAAGACAGCCCACAACCAGTCACAGACAAACATTTAGACGATTTAGACATGTCCAGTAATACTGAGTCACACGCTATTTTGAACACAAATCAAGACGATGAGTACTTAAAAGTGGAGACAGGGAATACACCATCCAACGCACAAGCTGGGACATCGAAAGGAAGTGCAGGTGTAGGGTTAGGCAGGCCTAATGGTAGACTCTCAGACGATGACAACTCTATGACTATGGCTGACCAATTACAAGAAGCCGCAGATACACACCTGATCGGACAAGATGGGAGTACATCAGGGACTAGTGTAGACCCGACTGGCAGTAGGACGAGGCAGCTATTGGATGATGTGAGAAACAGTTCGGTACGCAAACACGCCATACAGCAGCGCTTGCGACAGTTGAGTGCTGAGCGTGGAGGTTGCCATGTAAACGCTCAAGCGAATGCGCAGGCACACACCACAGCAACAGGCAATGGGGGAGATGTAGGAACACATGATGTTGATGATGACAGGCCAGCATCACAAACACAACCACGTACACATTCACCCACACGTGTGGCTAATGTGAGCGTATCGGTGACCAACCCCACACAGGTGGGCGAGGGCATGCGTGCGTATATGGCGTATGACGTGCGGTCTAGGCACGGCACAGTACATAGACGGTACAATGACTTTGCATGGCTGCACGCACAACTGAGAGAGAGTTGTCCTGGGGTTATACTGCCTGCCCTCCCTGATAAGCAACCACTGGGAAGGTTTGATAGTGACTTCGTGGACAAGCGATGTGTGATGTTGGATGCCTACTTAGGTAGGATAGCAGCCCATCCAGATTTGGGCCGAGCCGGGGCGTACTTGGAATTCTGCACTACGCTTAAAGCCTTACCCTCGGTATCTGTTTGTCTTCGTTGTATGGATATATGCATATACACACACACACACACACACACACACACACACATATATATATATATATATGATATATCTACATGCATACATGTTTGTGGACACACGCAGACACATGTATACGTGTACACACACTCACACACACACACACACACACACACACACACAC